CGCGCACGCATGGACGACAGCTCCGGATGTCAGTGAGAGATGAAGAAGAGCTGGAGACGCATGCAATCGGTTACGAAATGGGCCGATGGAAATAGCGTATAGGATGGAGAGACGCAGCATGAGTTGTCAGGGGAGATCCGAGGACATCTTCTGTTGTTTTTTGTTCGGGATGAAGGTCGGAAATCTCAACCAGAGAGAGTCGATTTGATTGTATTGTTCCTCGAAATTCGAGACACTTGATCTTCCACTTTTTTCTTGGAAGAAGAGGTCGAATTTCATTTTATTGCATGAGGGTGGAAATGAGAAGAATCAAATGACCCGGGATCGTTAATTAAAATGACACGCGGACATCTATCAATCTGTATCATATAATTATGCAATCGTAAAGAGATGATTGACAAAGTTATTATGAAATGTGTGAATAGACGACGTGAACAACAAAACAGAAGAAGAAGATAGAATCTCGATTTTGGACTTCAGGGAATGGGACTTCAGATGTTTTTCTATATGAGTTTTGAGCAATGCCACCTGATCAGTGGTTGCCAGACACTCTCATTTTTTTTTCGAAAATTGTTGTTTTTCGAAAATTCGCTCCTTCCATAAGGTTACACCGATTATCCATTCCATTTATCTACCCACACTTCACATCGCCTCACTCACACACAAGTAAAAGATGACAGATGGCTGTGTCATTTAGGATAACATCAAGAGAGAGAAGCGTCATAACATGAATTTATGCTCTTATTAGGAGGAGCACGCTATGGGGAATAACATTAAAGTTTGCAGATTTCATAATTCTAAACGTTTCGAAGTTGGCGAGGGGTATAAATTTTCCCAGCTCAAAAGTGCTTAAAACCGAGCATAAACATGAATAGTTTTCTTGAAATTTGAATTTTCGAATTTTCGTGGCATGACCCAAGTTTTCGAGAAGAATTTTTCTTGAAACATTTCAAACCCAATGTCGAAAAGATGGACCTTCATAAAAATAGGTCAAATTCTCACATTTTAAAATTTTCAAGTGAAAAGAATTGTTATGTCTACGTGAGCGCCTAGTTTTTCAATTTTTTTTGATGACGTGGTTATGAATAAAATAGTATTTAAATTTATTCCAACTAATTCAAAGAAAACGCTCTCCGTTTTGAAAAAGGTAATTTCTTTTTTGAAGAAATTCTGAAGTTCTGAAAATCTGAAATTCTGAAATTCTAATTCCGGAAATACTGAAATCCGGAAACTCGAAAATCTGAAAACCTGAAATTCTAAACTACTGAAATTTTGAAATTCTGGAAGTCTGAAATTTTGAAATTTAAAGGTTCTGAATGTGTGAAGTTCTGAAACTCTGAAATATTTAAATTTCAGAAATTCAGAAATTTGAAAAAATTAAATTCTGAGATTCTGAAATTTTAAGATTCTGAAATGTTATAATACCGATATCCTGAAATTCTTAAATTTTGGAATTCTGAAATTTTAAGATTCCGAAATCCTGAAATTTTGAAATTATGAAATTCTGAAATTCCAAAAATCTGTGATTCCTTTTTTTGAATTTCCAAAGTTTTCAGACTCATGAGACGTCGCAGCTTTGAAATGATCCAACAAACCCCCCAGAGCAAAAATGAATTCTCGGAAATCGTTGAAATATGGGTCTGTGTCAGTTGGTCGTGGTCGGCGCACACCGGCAAACCGTGTCAGTCTGCCTCGAAATGTGTAAACCAGAACTATCGGGAAAAAAACTGAACCTAAACTTCCCTAAGACTCATGAGTCTTTAGCGAGCAGAGACGGGGTCGTTTTTGTCTTCAGTTTTTAAGGGTGGTACAACTGATAAGAGCTGCAGAAAGTTCTTGAATTTTGTACCGGCGTTTTGAGTCCCAGATACTGTATTTTGGCAATTCAGCCGGACGCTTGGAAACTGAGGGTGCCTCCGGCCCCATCTGACACATAGGGTCGTCGCCTTGGTACTCTTTCGTATCATAAGACGGGCTCTTGCCCACTATCTGCAATTTTTCGCCAATAAACCTTGAGGGATCTATCTGGAGCTGGGTGACTTGTTAGATCCTGCTGATAGGGGCGGATCCCAGTAACCCTGGGTAAACGTATTATTGCACGCACTCGGGTTTTATTCCTGTTTGCAAGCAATGCCATTATGGTGTAAATGCGGAGATGGATATTTTGACTTTACCGGAAATTCATTGAGCTCTGAGGGGTGGGAAGAACAACAATCAGCAGGTAAATTTTTAATTCCAAAATTCTAAAATTCTGAAATTCTGAAACTCTGAAGTAATGATACTCTGAAATTCTGAAATTTTGAATTTCTGAAATTCTGAAATTTTTGAATTTCTGAAATTCTGAAATTTTAAGATTCTGAATTTCTGAATTTCCGAAATTTTGAAAATTTGATTATTTGATGTTAAAAAGGTGAACTCGATTATAACCAAATTTTCCAAATTATTCATTTTGTTTTTTTATTTAATTTTAAAAACTATTTTTTCAGAACTCTTCGATCTGGAAAGCTGATTTCTCCAGCGGATCCAACGGAGATCGTAGCGTTTCGATGGAGTCGAAAGTGAGAATTTTGAATTTCGAAATTTAAAAAATGGAGGGTTACTGAACTTTTTGAAACTTGAATATCTAGATCCTGTGTTTTTTTTGATTTTGGGACTTTCGGAAAAATTTGAAAATATTATTTTTTTCCTATTGGTCCCAAACCATCACATTTCAGAACGCCCCTCTAGCAGCTCCATCGACGTTTTCACAAAGTTAGAAAATTGGGAACACTACAGTAAGAAAAAATTTTAATTTTCTCAAAATTATGAAAAAAATTTCAGATGCATTTTCCGGATTTTCCGAGATGTGGACGGACTTCGTCTGGAAAATTATCAGAACTTTGTTGATTTTTTTGTGATATTTTTTTCTTTTATTTCGTTGCGCGGGTTTTCTCCGGTTGTCGTGGTTTCTTGTCTTTGTGGTTTGGTTTTGGTGGTTGGATTTTGGGATTAAGTGTTTGGTAAAGTAGCTAGTTCCCTTCGGAAATTCGTGAAGACGTGAAATAAAATTTGTCGGATCGTTTGGACGGAAATCTAAAAATTGGACTATGATCTGTAAATTGGACTAAAATGCAGGAAATTGGACTTAAAGTTGGACTAAAGTGTTTGGACTAAAACCTAAAAAATGGACTAAAAATTACAGTGATAAGAAAAATATATATTTATTTATCAAAAATATTGGTTTAAAGAAATGCGAAAGGTGTAAATAGGGTTCGAAAAAGGTGTAAAAGGTAAAAAAGTGTAAAAGGTCAACAATAAATGCTAAAAAAGGTGTCAAAGGTTAAAAAAGTGTAAAATTTATAATGTTAAAAGTCAATAAACAATGAACCTGTATATGTTGTTTTGTTTAATTTGTTTGTTAGAGTACCGTACAATCTGCACTAAATTAAGCAACTTTTGAGCAAAAAATAGTGTTTCAACAAATTACTGTGAAATTTCGGAATTTCTGGAATATTTTCCACTGAGAACGTTCAGAAGTTTTTATTCCAAACACGTTTTATGCCCTCAGAGGGCCCATCAATTAAATGGGCCTAATACATGTTTCACGGTATTTATGTCACTCTTCCATTCAATAACTATATATAGTTTTCCTCCATACTTCTTGGTGCAGCTGAACTTCTGATATCGGACACATACAATTCTTCGAAAAAAAAATTTATTTTTTAGCTAGCTTCCAATCCAAGCCCTACTATTTTTCTCCTCAGTTTCTTTTCTAAACCTGTAACTATAGTTATTTGCATATTTTAAGACATCCAACCTCAACATATGACACCTAAACCATCCTCCCTCATCCTCCTCCCCCATTTCAAATTTATTTCGTTGTTTGTAAATGCAAATTGGGCTAACAAAGCAATAGGTGTAAAATGGCATCAGAAGTAGAAGAAGAAGGGCAGTCTCTCGTGGCATCGTCTTCTTCATTCCTCTGCCTCTCGCTCCCTCTCGAATCGGTTTCAGTTTTGTATCGTCCGCGGATTCAAGAGTTGACCAAGGTCAATTCTGCGGTCCGCCTTTCCCATCGTCTCAAAAACTTGCCAAACTGACCAAATGCTTTTTACCCTTTCATCGTCATTTTTTTTGTGGTTTCCGCTTCTTAAACACTTCATCAAAGTCATTTTGTACTACTTTCTTAACCAGTATATACGATTACTTTCATTTTATCTTTTTGGTAGACTACTCAAATACCTTTATACGGGGTTTTTCGTTTATAGATCTAGAACTATGGTTAGGCGATTTCGATATATTCGTTCTTTTTTATTTTGGTATGAATATTTTCATGGACACAAATTTTTGAAATTGTACATGTTTTTTTCTTGGCTTTTAAAACTGGATTTGTTCCTCTCATTTTTAAGCATTTGCGTATATTACCGTACAACCTGTAATAGAAAGACCCCCCCATAATCGCCAACTTTGACCGTTTTTATCTCTGTTCCTGTGCACGATATCAAATATATCTCAATTGATAAAATGTTTGTGATATTATGATGAACAATTTATCAGTTGACTACTTTTTGATATCTGTGACAAAAACGGAAATAAATGGACTCGAAAATAAAGGTTAGGGGACCATTCTTTCACAGGTAATCTTGAATTGCTAGTTTATTAAACCTTTTTCTAAATTTTGCCTCACTTTTATCATCATTCACAATTCGTTTTGTACTTTCAGCTGAAAATAGTACGATGAAATCAACGCTGCTTCTATTATTCTTATCATCATCAATCAAGCAAGGTACGTGTTCATTTTGCCTCCTGAATCACTATTGTCCTCCTTTTGAAATGACATCATCATGATTCCTTTCTTCGAGACACAAAACAGTCATGCTGTTATCTCTGAAACCATCCATGCCAATTCGAGAATTTATTCTTCATTTTCGCCCCCATTTGTTTGAAAGTATACAGTTGGTTGGAAAGAGGGTTGTAATGAGTCAGGCACCCTATTCTCGAACAATGGAATAAAGAATTTAATGAATGGAAAAGGACAAGGTGAAGAAAAATGTGTAATATTGGGGCACGATAAGAATGACCGTAAGGGGGCAAAACACATGATCAGAGAGAAGAAAATGAGGAGAGGAGATGAAGCAGACAGATTGGCGGGAGGTCTCACATGTAGACCGTCCCAATTCGAACTTTTTCAGGCGAATTTTGAAAATTTTACTTCCAGGCGGAACTCAAATCAATCTCGGATCGTTTTTCCTTCATCCACAAAATGGTGGCGGATTCGATATGGGAATGGGACAAGGAGCGAATATTCTCGGGTTTGGAGGTGACCGTAGCTTTAGTTTAGCTGGTAACAGAGCTGGATTTGCACTAGGATGTAAGTATTAACAGACACATTACGGTATTCATGGTAAGTTTAACGGATCGAAAGCATCGAACATGCATCAGGGGCGTTCGGAACCGAGTTAGGAATTCCGAAAACTTTGACCTGAATATTTCCGAAATCTTGGAACTATTATTAATTTTGTTTGCGTTTCAATCAGTTTTTCAATTTATAAAAATCAATATTCTCCATTTAAAATTCTTCTTTTTTGAATATTCCGAAGATTCCGAATTTTTGAAACTTTGAAAATCGAAATATTCCAAAATTCCGAAAATCCGTAATTTTTGAAACTCGGAATTTTCCTCATTCCGAACAATTCCAAAAAAGCAATTCCAAATACCCCTGACTTGCATCGAGCTCATTTATCGAACTGCAGAAACAATTAAATTGTAAAGCATTGTCCATAAAAAAGCCCTAAAGCCTGAACTTTATTTCAAAGTCAAACATACCAGTGTCGCTAACCTTCCACAGTTTGTCTTACAATTTCCAATATACCGTAAAACCTCTAATAGAACGACACCCGGATCGTCCACTTTGAGCCTATATATCTCATTTCTTTTGAAAGATATCAAAAACTGGTTAACTAGTAAAATGTTTATCAGGATATCAACAACATTTTACTAGTTAGCCACTTTTTGATATCTTTCACAGAAAATGAGATATATAGGCTCAAAGTGGACGATCCGGGTGTCGTTCTATTAGAGGTTTTACGGTAATTACACATTTCTTTTTTAATAATTTTCCGTATTTCATCTAATAGAAGCCCACCAGAACCGTTAACTTTGAGCTCAATTATCTCGGTTCCTGTGAAATATATCTGAAATATGTCAACTGATAAACTATTTATCATAATATCATCAATATTTTAATAGTTGAAACAATTTTGATATCTTTCATAGGAACTGAGGCAAGTTGGCTCAAAGTTGACTGTTTGTGTGGGTACTGTAATAATTTATGTTCAGAAATTTGTAGTGATTAACTGTGTGTGGTTTTTTAAATAACTGATTTTTAAACTAATTTGATATCTTAAATCATTGAATTTCAGCAAACAACGGTGCCCTTGTTGGTGGTCAGCGTGTTGGTGTAGATGGAGGAATCGGCGGAGGTCGTGAAGGAGTTGAAATGGGAAGTCAAGTGCAATTTGGAAATGAACCAAACCCTGGACATCCAGCAGGACAGTTTGGAAGCTTTTTGGACAACATGAAGAACTTTTTCTCTTTTCTCGGTAAGTGATTCGGAAGAAGCAACCATATGTTTCGTGTTATCTTGATCAACCATCATTCTCTTTTTCTTCTTTGTTTCCTGCCATCATCAAGAAAAACACGTACAAGACACATGGACTTTGAACACTTACAAGACTGAAAGTTTCAGGTCGTGGAATGCCGATGCCTCCTCAACAGCCACCACCATCTCCACCATTCTCGTTGGGTGTTACTCCTACTCCACCAACATTGATTGGAACCGAGGGAGCTGCTGGAGAAAATGGAGGAAGACATAAGCGTGAGGCAAAATGTTTTAAGTTTGTTTCTAGATCCGGATTTTCAGCTCGTCCATGGTTTCCAGAACAAAGACCAGAAGAGAGACTGGATGAGACCGATATGGGAAGTGAGATAAGACCGAAAGAGGGAGAAGTAAAGTCTTTATCAACTGAAGAAGCAGAGCTTATTGGTCCCAACAATGGAGAAGTTCTACGGAAATCAGTGGAATTCAGTGTGGATCGGGAGCCAGAAGAGTTCACAGAAGACCTCTTCACTGCTCAAACAAGCCGACCGAGAGAACTTCCCGGACTTGTTGAGTTTGCGTAAAAATCCAAAATCTGAATGATATTCCAATTAATCTTCTTCTCTCGAAATCCAGTTTCATGACTTTAATCCTAATATCTTTAATTCCATACGGGTTATTTTTATATATCCATTTATGTATTAGTTGATCTTTTTATCCATCGTCATTTTCTCTTATAATTTATGTAAGAAATCATGCTTTGTTGACTGAAGCTTTATGAATAAATCTTTGATGAAACCACCAAAACGCACTGAACTATGAAATGGTATTATTTGAAAAAAAGAAGAGAAGGGACAAAAAAGAAACACATTGAATGTGTGGTAGTCGTAAAGTATACATATTCATGAATTGAGAAAAGAAAAAAGTCACAAAAAAGAAGGAATTGGACCCGCAGAGTGGTTTTTGTTAAACAAAATAAAAGGATCACAAATTGTGTATCATACATAAAAATGGAAACTATACTAAAATTTTTGCAATAAGTGAGAAAGTTTGGTGCATTTTTTGTTGGTGTTCGCTCTTATGGGTGAAGGATTTTTTGACAGCTTTTCGAAGTTCCGGATTGCAGAGCTGGAAAAAATATTCACTAAATAAATAGGGACACCGAAACAAATATTTTATTGCCTTAAAAGCTATGAGTTCTCTGATATTATTGTGGAAATCCAAAAGAAGTGCAATTTTTGCTTGAAAAGGGGGCGAATAGGGACGAAGATTTGAATTCCCGCGCAGTGAGAAGTCTAGGCCACGGACGGTTGCAGGACACCATTTTTTAAGTGGTTGATGGAGATAAGAGTGGAGAAAATCCAGAAAAATCGTCATATAAAAAAGGCGTCATGCCGCTGTGGCCTGGGTTTCTCACTGCGCGAGAACTCAAATCCTCGTCCCTACTCGCCACCTTTTTTCATTTTTAACGTTATTTTTTTGGGGGTTTCGGATTTTACTGAATTTTTCCCCCCTTCACCCCTTCATATACTCTCTGCCAAAAAAATGAAAATTACCATATAAATTGGAAGTCGGAGTGCACACGCGGTCACTACCAGTACAGATGATAAATCCGCAGACAGCATGTACTCTTCCAAAAACCTGAATCATTATTTTTCATATTATTTCCATTGAATTCCCAAAAGGATTACCTATTTGTTAATGAATCAAGATCCACAAATTCCCACGCCGTGATGAACACATTCACAACGTTCGATATCAGATAAATGACACAAATGAATAACATTGTGGCTGTCGCCTGACGTACGTTTGTCTGAAAAAAAAAGAATAGTAAAATTCTCAATGACATCATTAACAACTCACCCGACTTTGCATTCTTAGCGAGAAACGTCTTCTTGACCTGTTTCCAAAAGCATGTTCCATTTGGGATCGAAGTTCCAACACGATTCCCAAATTGATTAACAGTAAAAGGAAGAATGGGAGGAATACAGTGACAATGTTGCGGAACCAGAATTTGTAAATACTACCGTACCAGTTGGATTTTGTGATTTCGGTTACATCCACATAGTACTCCATAACTGTATTCTTACAAGTGGGATCCTCATTTGGGAACACATCCAACTCCATTAACATTCCACCTTTTGTAAGAACTCCAATTGCCAAGCATGCTAAAATGAACTTAGTAACTTTATAACTTTTTTTGGCCTCCCTTCTAGAGTTCTTCAAGACCGAAGCTCACTAAACAAGGAAACTAAAACTTCTTTTTTCGTCATTCCTCTATCTCTCTCTCGAAGGACACGAGATTCTGCACAATGACTTGACTATGACTATAATTGGCCCAATTTTATCGTAGTTTCACTCACCAAAGCACCACCAGCTTCTTCGTTTTTGGAACTGCTTCAACATGTAACTTCTAACTGTGATCAGATATCTTTCGTAAGCAACTGCTATCAGAATATAGCTGAGATTTCTGTTGTTTTTTCAAAAATCTATTTTCAGTAATTACCATGCAGTCGTCATACAGACGTGTGTCATTGCCAGTCCATAGACAAAAAATGGCCACCAAGCTCTGGCAAGTTCAATCCATTTCGTCCAATCTTTCAAAGAATCCACGAGAATTACAGGCATATAACATACGGAAATGATGATGTCAAAAAAGCACAGGGCAAGAATGAACTGAAAAGTTTGAATAGAAAAAAAACTCAATTTTCAGACTACTCACATGAAAGTAACATTTGAAGCATCGATTATTTCTAATCAGGGAGATGAAAAGAAGAACATTGTTGGAAATGGATATAATTGAAATTATGGATCCTGAAAATACCACTATATTCATTTTTAGCCACTGGTAAAATTGCTCAAATTCCTCACCAGCTATGACCATAGCAAACGAAATTGTCGATTTTGGACCATCCTCTTCGCACATTTGCTCGGTTTTCTGCAACAGTATATGATGAGAAATACAAGGTACAAATAAGAATGGAGGCGGATTCAGAAATTCTCGAATTTCACTAGAATTCTGATGAATGAATGTACTCTTCTCTATGCGAATAAGGACCAACAATTGACGTTTTGTTTCCTCATTACAGAAAAAAAATGAGCGGAGAGAAAAATGGCTGAAAATGAGAGCAAAAGGATGAAAAAGAAAAAGGAGAATAACTGAAAAGAGGATTTTGTGGTGTGAGGTGGGGATTTGGTATATGATGCGATAGGAGGGATCAGATAAGGACACATTTCTATTAGAAATTTTCTAATACAAAAAACAATTAAGGCTCGGAAGGTTAACAAAGAAGGAAGAACAGTAGACATCAATAATAAATAAGGAACTAGTTCTTTCAAAAGGGATCTACCAGAAATGTCAGGCATGAATTTTTTGAGAAGCGGATTCTGGTATCCGGATTTCGGAATACCGTAAAACCTGTATTAGGAGGGCCCCTCTAATAGAAGGGCCCTCCGAGAGAGGCTTGAAAAAAATAGAAGGGCCCCTTCAAAATAAGTTGTTCTAAATTGAAAATGTTCGTACGTTTTCAGTGAAAAATATTCTGAAAAATCCAAAATTTTATAGAAATTAGTTGAAACACACTTTTTTACTCAAAAACGTGCTCAACGAGAGATTTTGGAAAAAAATGTTTTTAAAAAAAGAAGGACCCTCTCTAGTTGAAGAGCTCCTGTAATAGAAGGGCCCTCCGGAGGTAACTTGAAACAATAGAAGAACGGGCCCTTCCAATACAGCTTTTACGATAAATGATTATTTTCGGGTTCCGGAATCCGGAATTAAAAAAAGCGGAATCCAAATTTCGGAAAAATGAGTTCTTTCAGAAGCTTCCCATTTTCATATTACCAGACTACAATACGTATCAAAAAGTTCATAAGAATTGACTAAACTCAAATCCTCCGAGGAGAAATTTTGTACTGGTAGAAAATTTCGAGAATCGCGTAATCCATTTCTAAAAAAAACTAGAAGAAGGGGGCTTTTCTGAAAAACAAAGAGATACACCTGCTAACCGAGATCAACTCATTGTTGAAATTGTGGAAAAGTGAGAGAGAAAACATTAGAAAAAAGTGATATGAGAAGGAGATGACAGTTGTTCGGGTAACAGGAGATGTCGAAAAAAAGAAGAAGAAGAGAACTGAGCTTTCTCATATCTATATTCTCTAATTGACATAACCTATGAGCTCATAAAATGGGCTAAAGTAGCTATGGAGTGAGCCAGGATGTAATCTTTTTCATGGCTATGTTTTCTATTCTTGAGCTCTTTTTTTGTGAGCTCCATCTAAAAAAACCGATTTTCCAGATTGCTCCGGGAGCAAAAAAAAGACGAAGAAAAATAAACAGAAAAGTAATGTATAGGGATTGCATTGGTCTGTCATAAAACGTCTCTGCTCATTGAGTAAATTGAAACAAGTTGTTCAACGGGAAAAAAAGAAGAGAACAATTTCTAATTCCAGTCACACACAAACATATTATCATCAAATCCTAAAAGGGACCCCCTATGATGTAGGGAGAGCACTTAGAATATTGAAAAAAAAGAAGAAGAAGAAGCTCGCGTACGTTCATAAACGGAAAAGTTATGAGAGACATTTTTTTGATTGTTGTGATTTTCTTTTTTTTTTTCAAAAATGAGTCACTCAAAACTGACAAAATGAATACTTCTGAACGTCTCGTGTCTGGAGGTAAAAAATTGAAAAAAAGACTTTAAAAAGGGAAGTATCTACTCGAGAATACATTTAGATCATCCAAAAAGTAGTTCCATTTTTTTTTCAAAAATGATTAATTCAGTGGTGGGAGGTAGCCATTTTTGGATTAAGTGAATTTTGAGATCATGTCACATAAAACAAGGAAACAAGATTGTCGGGAGACAAGATAATTGAGAAATGTACCAGTGATTGACACGTACATGTTCTAGTATGAATATAACTATTTCCTTATATAGGTCAAAGGTTTTTGGAAAGTGTCAATCAGAAAAATACAGATGAAAAAATGGATCTAGACATTTGAACCCACTCGAAATCTCTCATTGAAAAAACTGCCACAACTTCTTCGGATTCAAAATACGCCCATGTAAAATGTTATCACAGGAAAATTCTGACGAAACTACAAAAAAATAATGAAAAATATTTACATACTTTAAGTACAGTGTCCCGAACCAACAGAAACAAAAAACAAGGAACTCTTCCTTATGATCAAAAAATAATAAATATTTCAGAAACAAATTAGCTACATTACAAGTTATGAATGATTTGTTATTGAGGATGATGGTTCCCTTGGGATGTGAAACGATGGAACTACTTGGTATCCGTAAGGCTGACAGGAAGGAGGATGAGTGACGCAAACCAGACAATGTGAAAGTTCGAAAAAAGTTGCTCTCTGGGAGAAGAGGTTAAGGAAGTTTAAGATTTACTATAAAGATGAAATGCGAACTTTTGGTGATCTTTGAAATGAGGAAGTTCTTTTTGGGTTTTTTAAAGTCTGTGTGTGGGCACTCGAAATGTTGCGGGCTTTTGAAAATTCGGCCTCCCAAGGGTATGGAATAGTACGGAAGTGATGATGTTTTCAAGATGATGATGTTTTCAAGAGCCCCATGTTAGACAGTAAAAAAACAGAAGTAATTGGTAGGCCGGTCTAATTTTAAGACTCCAAAAATTTTCAAAAACTGCTCGCCCAAGTCAAACTTCGAAAACTTCAAAGAAAAAAAAGAAGAAACGAGTGGAATTGAATATCCGAAGACGTCCTCGCTAGAAGAAGTGTCACGTAGTTTACTCTAGTGACCCGATATTCATGGTATCGCTTACAACTGACGACTCCTATTTTAACTTTCCGGTCAAATGTCGAAAATGAAAAGAAGGAAAAGAAGATTGTACTGATCGATGTGACGATGTCCCCCAAAAGAGTGCTAAATCATGACACGAACTTTGTGCCGGGCCCCCAAAAAAGGGCTGGAGAGAGGTCTCTTGAGATAGAGAAAAAGAAAGACAATGAAAAAGAAGAGTTCCGTTCTTTTTTGTAGATGCAAGATGGAGAAGAAAGGGTCTAGTAGTGTGAAACGAGGAAGCGATTAGATTGGAGTGCACCGCATGGATGGCACGTCAACCCCGGAAGAACTCCTTCTTCTCATCAAGAAAAATAGAGGTCCAGATTTATATTTGAGAATATGAGGAAGGGTTCATAAATATGCATTATTCCTTTTCATTCTTCTTCCAGCTCTTGTTGTTTTTTATGATCACTGCTTTTTCATCAGGAAGTACGTGACAAATCGAAAATCAGAGGATTATGATCACTCGGTAAAACTGTCAAATTGTATCTTGAAGTAATCAGAACAAAGTGATTCTCTAAAGACATAGATACAGAGTTTGTATTGTAAAGTAAGGGTACAAACATGATGAATATTGAACTTTGAAAAACTATTTTGAAGTTAAAAATAATAGAAAATCGATCCAGATGAACCGTTGGGATCAGAAATGTTCGGAATGGCCTTTTCGAAATTTTTCAGAATGTCGAAATCTCCGACTTTCGAAATTTCCGGTATTTAGGAATATTCCGGTTTAGAAAATTTAGGAATTTCGGAAATACTGAAAGTCATTCCGCTCGAGACCCGCAAGCGCTTGCGCCTTTGCCATATCGTAGTCCGAAAAGCAGTAATTCCGAAAATAAAACATTTCTGAGTATTCCGACCGGGATTTCATTCCAAATTTTTTGTTGTAAATGCTCGGAATTTTCGGAATTACGAATTTCGTTCCGAACATCCCTGAGTGGGATACCAAGAAGAGAGTGATGATGGTGGATTTTCAAGGACGTAGGGATACAAATATTTGAAAAATTATACGACTGTGGTATTAAAAAATTCTTCTTGATCTCTATTTGCAGAAACAGGAAAACCATGGTCAGACTGTAAAACGATTTGAGTTTCAACTTTTAAGAAAAAAACAGTCAGTACCAAGAAGAGCCTAGAAGTTAGTGACAATCGGTGACTCTTCAACGGATGTTCGTCGGAAGTTCGGGCGTAGATTCCACACCACTTTCTTCTTTTTCTTTTTTCTTTTTCTTTTTATTCTCTTTTTTGGAATGTTTTTTTATTTCAGTTAGACTGCGTAAAATCCTGAAACCAACTTCACAGATTCTTGTGCGAATGACAGGCAATAGGAAAAAATTCGAAGAAAAACAACCAAATGGATTTGGTGTTGATAGTGGAAAGAAGATGAGTATTTGAATTATTTTATCAGTATAACGTCGCCTGGACTTCATTCATAGTATTCCGAAAATTCCAATGAAAAAGATTAGAGAGATTATTGCCCATCGTAAAAATATTTAACCTCTGAACAAGCCTGAAAACCAAATAAAATAGGAAAAAGAAATGGAGCCGAGTGACGGCTTCAGGATTACGGTTGGAGAAAGAAGGAAAGAATAATAGTGAATCTCTCCCCGTCCAGATGGATGATCACGTATTCATTTCGGATTAGTCAAGTACAATCAATTCGAGATTTCGACAACCAATACTAGATATTGTAAAATATTCATTTGGAGAGAGCTTTTGCTTCCTTGTCTTGCAGAGATGATTGAAAATTTGTCAGTGCTGATTCAAAGATGTGGGGGAAGACATTGCAGAGGCGTAGGGTAGTAGGATTAAACCTAGCATTTTTGAAACGAATCAAAAATTGGACGAAAAGTGAAATTCGAGACGTTCTTTTTTGACTTTGAATATTTTGATGACTGTTTACTGAACATTATCTATAAAATATTGATACCGTAGCAACTGTCTTACTAGGGAATGGCGTGAATAGGGTCTGGAGTTACGTCACATGACCTATATCATTGGAAAGCTGATAAAAAGTTATGGACGAATATGCATTCAAAATTTGCTATATATATTTGACCAATTTTGGCTATAGAGCCACCAGCTCGGAGGAAATCAGGTCTAAAACTGTAAA